TTCTCCCAATTTATTTGGTATGTTTTTCACTTTCCTTTAAAAACACATCCGAATTTTTAACCAATATAGTTTACATTTTCATTTCAAATCTTTTTCATTCCAAACCAGATATGAAATTTGAAATAATGGAACACTCATGAGAAAGGTGGGAAAAGTTTTAAAAGGTTCCTTAAAACAATTAAGCCAATATTTATTTGGTATTTATCAAATGTTGTAAAAGGTTCAATAAGCTGTTGACAACTAAGAGAGGAAGAAAAATTATGTTTGATATCTTACCTTATTTATAGAGTTAGAAGTCAAGTTGCTAAAGATATTTCTATAGTAGTGGGGTTCCTATTCATATGAGGGAGCTATTGTTGATAAACTAATAATGGTGCTAAGATCAAATTTCTAAGAGTTCAAGTTCAACTAGAACTTTGAAGACTAATTAATTCCTTGATTGAAGAGGGATCTAATATTAGTAAAATAGCACAAATTCTCATCATATGTTATCCTGTAGAAATCAGAGTAATTGATCACAAATCATAACTTTCTAAAAGAATATATATTTTAAGAGAAGTTAAATTGTCAAAACGAACACAGCTCAGCGGTAATTGACATATATTTCCGACCCAGAGGTTGTAAGTTCGATCCCATCCATCAATAGTTTTTTATGTGTATGATTTCTTTTCTTGTTTGGTTAATTTTGATGATTTTTATATAAATATATATATATAATCATTTTAATTGTAACTATTAATTTATTTTCTTTCAAAATGTCCCATTAATTCTTGCACTTGTATACCAAAATGATATTATCCTAAAAGAATAATTTCACAATTTATTTTATTAAATGTACTATATGTTTGAATATGGTGTCAACCAAAATGGGTTGAATTTTTCCCTAACACCAACTTTATCCAACATTTATTGGTATGCAAATGGGAAACCTAATACCCTCCAAAAAAAGCTATATATATATAGGAAACCTAATTTCATCAAATAACAATTAAACTTTTTAATATTTATTATTTTGTTTTCTATGCAATTTTCTATATTGTCAGGCCAAATAGAACTACACCAACTTTTGCTCTTTTTCCTCCTAAATTTCTACTGGTCAAAGCCAGCTGAAAATTGATAATTTTATTTTCCAAGTCAACCCATTAAGTGCTTTTGTTATACCAAATTTTGCAAGTTGTTTGAAAGAGTTTCTCAATTGGAAATTGATTATCAAATTAAGACTTTCAAAAGGGTTTCTATATTATACATACTTTTTCCTAAGGTTTTCGACACCGATATGTATTATCACGATGACCACCTACTTTAGGAATTAATTTCTACGTGTGTATCAACACCAAATGTTATAGAGTCAAGTGGCTACCTATGAAATTATTCGAGATGCGCGTAAATTAACCCAGACACTCACGAATATCAAAAATAAAATAATATATATATAGGTATTTTAACCCTTATTGTTTAATTTTCAAGTTTTTTTATCATTCATTAGCGTCACAAAAGCCCTAAATTGTAGTAGTGCAGGTAAATATATTTTGTTCATTTAACCTAATTAAGAGATGTCACGTGAACGCCAAGGCGAACATAGCTCAGCGATAATTCACATGAACAAGTGTTTGAAGCCACGTGCACCCAAATTAGGTATTGAGTTTGCCAGTGAATTTTGGTTCCTTGTTAGACTAGTAACAAAATATTGATGATAAGAATTAATAATATGCAAAGCGTAAAACTAGGACAAAATATTCGAAAATTTAAGGGCTAAAAATATAATATTTAAAAATTTTTAGGATTAAAATGAAGTATAAAAATTCAATTGCTAGGAGAAAATTTTAATGGTCAATCATAAGCTAGTAATATTTATGTTGAAAACACAAATTAAATCATACTAATTTTGAGTTGTTAATATACAATTTTGTTTCACATTTGTTGAGCTTAAAAAAATGTAAATAAAATCTAGAAATTTGTGTTTTTCTATGCTTCTTAATTTTGGGTTAAATTTAAAATTTCGCCTTTACGATTTGATCTTTCAATTCTGTCCTATATTTTTATAGAAATTTCAATCTAATCCTCACGGTGGATCAAAACTTCACGAATTATTCCTAAACCCATTTTTTACCCACATGAAAACTCCACAATTTTCTCCCATTTTTTACTCAATATTAAACCCTAATACATTAAGAGTATAAAATCATGTTGTATCAATATTTCCATATATCCACGGATTCGATATAAACATAAGGAATCTATCGATATTTCCATAGTATTGCAAATATATATATATATATATATATATAAATATAAAAAAATATAACAACAAAATATCACTAATGTGGAAATGATATTAATATAGTAATTTTTAACTTATTTAAAAGTAGGAAAGACTTATTTATTAGTTTAAATATTTTTACATATAATTTTTCTACAAATTATCTATTGACATCAATTAAGACATCGACCTTTGAAATCTTGAATACAGCTTATTGCCGTGTAAATAGATAACATGACCATTATTATTTATATAGTGATTATTCCCGAAATAAGTATTTTCAATAAGTTAAATATATCTGATTAATAGATTTTTTTTAGAACAATATTTTGTTTACTATTTAAAAAATATATATATATATCATTATTTCCTTCATTTATATATATATATATATATATAAGCATAACTCTACTTTTTAAGTTAAATGATTAAATCACGCGTATTTGTACGCGTTAAAGTGCTTTTTAATTTAATTTTTTCCTTTAGAATTAATTAGAAAAAAGTATTCTTCAATCTTAGATGCATGATGCTCTCAATGTGTTTCTTTTTTTTTTCTTTTTTTTTTGTGACAGAGCTTTTAAATGTGTTTCAAGGAGAGAAGAAGAAAGCTAACACCTTATATTTTTATGGATCACTCAACTTTGGTTTAATTTTGGTTTTCATTTTTAAAAATGTTCTATTTTGGTGCTCTAAACTCCCGTCTGATTTTGTGCAATTTTATTTACATTTTCTAGATATAAATTATTTAATATAGTTGACACACAATATGGCTATCACTTTAATGTCGTTCAAAATATGAGAAAATTTTTAAATTTTTTGATTGTGCATTACATGAAAGCATAAACCAATGCTATTGTGATGACGACGATGAATATATGTTCTCGAATTTCAAACAGATCGATATTTGGTTGAAAATCAAGAAGATTGATGGGGAAGGAAAGGTCGTCAACTTTCTTTTTGGTAGGAAAGGGTCAAGAACTTTAGGCTTTATAATGAATGCTAATGTACCCACTAGAGAAAATATCCTAATTTGATGCCAAAAAGAACCATAAACTTTGATTGTGATATGTGTTGTTTCATTTCAAAGTAACAAATATCCTTTTTTTTCCTCTCTTCTTACATATACCCTTTTCAAAGTGAGTATTTTTTTTTTTTTTTTTGAGAAAGAAAAACAAAATTTTATATGGGGTATTTTTTTTCAATCTTTTTTTATTAAAAAACAAGATAGAAATGTAATAACAATTAATTTGTTACAATAAAAAATTTTACTTGAAAATAGAATTTTTAATAATCTTAACTCATCGGTACTTGAACCTGTGTCTAACCAAGAGGTCATTAATTCGAATGTCCCACACCCACTTGTTATATTAAAAAAATAATAATAATGAGATGTACGTTCAACCTTATTGCATTTAATTTCTTTTATATTTATCATATATTTTATTGAGTAAAAAAGAGAGCAATGTTCTTGTATACCTTTCATATAGTAAACTAGAAACCAAAATTCATTTGATTTTGTTTTGGGTTTTCTACTTTTTAAAAGTAAGCTTATAAACACTATTTCTACCCATTATCTACTTTCAAAAACCCTTTTTTTCATAACTTAAGCCAAAAATTGAAAATTAATAAAAATAGTAGTTTTTTTTGTAATTTAAGTTTAGTTAAGAACTCAAATATCTCTTAAGAAAGATGACAAAAATATCAAATAAATTGCAATAAAGTAAGCATAATTTTTAAAAATAAAATCATTGTCAAGCGAAACCTAAGCAATCAAATTTATTTTTCAGGACATTTCTCAAAAAAAAAACAAAATATTTCCCTAACCTAAAGGCATAGTAATAATTCTAAGAAAAACACCTATACTAATATTTTTCTCACAAACAAAAAACAAAACCAAACAAAAAAACAAAAAAAAGAACGTCACTAAACCGACCCATCCGTGAAAGACTAAGACCTAAATAAAATTAAAAATTAAAAAAAGATGTCACAAACCCCCCATGAAACTTTATATTATTTAACCCAAAACCAATTATGCATGGTCTCAAAACTCTCAATTTCATATGGTAATAATTGATAATGCATGGCAACTCAGCTTCCTAATCAAATCCTCATCTTCAATCCAACATTTTGATTTCTTTATTCAAACCCACAAACTTTCCACTCTCTTTTCATCTTCCTCCACTCACTCACAAAGAAAACTTTTCAGCTTATGGTTTTTTTATTTTTCTAATTGCTCATAAAAGTTTGGCTAAAACCCATTTTCCAGAACTTGCTGCTTCATTTCTCTACGTATCTTTTCTGTATAAGAAGTCCAAAACTCTTCTTCTTCTTGTTCTTCTTTGCTAATATTCCAAGTCCTGCCTCTGGTTTTTATTTTTTATTTTTTGGTTCTGTGGAGAATTGTTTGGCTTTAATTTTAGGTTGTTTGCTGAAGAAGAAATCGTTAGCTGTTTGGGTTCATTTGCTTTAACTTCAAGTTTTTGTAAGTATATTGACTTCTTTGTTTGTTGTCTTCCTTTGGGTTTGCTTTTTAAAGTTATTCTTTTTCCATGGCGCCATGCCCTTCCCAGCTTTGTTTGGAGGTTGCTTTGGCAGTCAGATCTGCCTTGAAATATGGCGTTTTGACCTCTCTCTTTTTTACTTTACAATTAAAAATGAAAAAGAAAGCCTCTCTTTTTCTGGGTGTTTGCTATTTTGGGGATTTGGGTTTCGGTTTCTACATATTAAAAAAAAGAAAAAAGTTTCTGGTTTCAGAGATTTAAGGTTCATTCATATGTATCTCTGCATCTGTCAATCATTTTCTAGAGAAAAAGAGTAGATTATATAGAGATCAATATCAAATTACTTTCTAGAGAGAGTAAATGAGAGAGAGAGTAGATATAGAGATTACTTTCTAGAGCCCGTTCAGAAGTCGTATGGTCAAACTCTCACGTATGTATTCACAATGTAATGTTTAAAAATAATCACTTTCTAAATTCTATATAGAGAGAGTAAATTATAGATAGGAAATTTGAGAGAGTAATAGAGTCAGTTATGAGCATAACACGATAATGAATACATCTCTACCTTCTCTAAAAAGTAGTTTCAAATTTTCACCTTTGTCTTCTTTTTTTCTTTTCTTTTTTTATAATTGGGAGTCGAAACTTTGCTCCTAGTAATAATTGGGAGTCGAAGCTTTGCTCCCCTATACCAGGGGCTACTGCGCCCACCCCAAGGCCCGGATCCAAGAGACATAAAGGGCTTTTAGTATTAAACTCACCAGAAGATTCGAACCTGAGACCTTTAAATCGGTATGATTAAGAGGCCTCAAATCCTTGCCGGCCGAAAATTTTCACCAGTCTTACAATATAATATTCTAAAAAGCACTTTCTAAATTCTATATAGAGAGGGGAAAGAGTAAATTTCAGAGAGAGAGAGAAAGTAGATGGTAGAGTGAGAGTAGGGAGGTGCCAAAAACGCAGGGGGGAGCCAGTTTCTGAGGCTTCAAATCCGGGGTTTGTAAGTGGTATCTTGAGGGATTTAACATTGCAAGACAAGACAAAAAGCAGTGGAGGGTAATGCATTATTTGGCACTCTAACTTTGATATAAAAATTCTAAAATTATAAGCGTCAACCCCATGTGACATTGAGTGCATTTCTCATTTCCAAACACTCTTTCTCATATCTTACACTTCCTTTTCTCTTTTATATACAATCCCAAAAGCTTCTTCCTTCTTCTAACTCTCCCAACTTCTTATTCATATCTCTACTTTCTGGACTGGACAGCCCTTTCTCAACTCATTTTCACCAACTTTATATCTCATTCCAATCTGTTCACAGGTTTCTCAGCTCACAGGTAGCTTTTGCCCAGCTTCGCCGTGACAATATTGGTCAGTTTCAAGGTAAGAAAAGTAGTTTTAGCTCGGTTTGGAGGTTCATAGTCTTTTCGGTTTGTTTGATATGTGGTTTGTTCAGTTGCAGGTTAAGATGGGTATGTTTCGGAATCCTACCACGAGAAATGGAGACTATTTAGAAGGGATGATCAGTGATTATGTTGGAGGAAAGGGAAAGTTGAGACCTACAAAAAGTTCTTCAACAAAGCTTGTTGCTGCTCTCACATGTCTCCAGTTTGCCTTTGCCTTATATGCAACATTCCTACTCTATTATGTGAGCCCTGCAATAGACTTGAGAACCAAACCAGACTTCTCTTGGGCTACTAGAATTGCTCAACAATGGAGACAGTTTGTAATACCGACCCATGTTGTGGGCCGATACCAAGAACCGACCTCTCTGATACAAGGGGAATTCAGACCGATCACTCCAGAGGAAGCTTGTGAGAATGAGAAGATTGATTTTGAGCAGAAGAAGTCCAACGATGCGCAGATGATAAAGTTAAAAAGAGAGCTTTACAATGAGGTTCTAGATTTTCAAAGCAAAAGCTTTGGAACTGAAACTCTTTCTCAGCTAATGGGAATGAAGTCCAAGTGGGATTTGAGAGGGCCAAACAAGCCAAAAGTTACTGTGATCTTGAACCATTTCAAGAGGAAAACTCTGTGTGCTCAGCTTAATTCTTTGCTTGAGCAAACCCTTCCTTTTCACCACGTTTGGGTTCTTTCATTTGGGAGTCCAAATGAGCTCTCTTTGGAAAGAATTGTAGATAGCTATAATAACTCAAGAATTAGTTTCATTAGTTCAAGTTATGACTTCAAGTACTATGGAAGGTTCCAAATGGCTTTACAGACTGAAGCAGATTTGGTATATATTCTTGATGACGACATGATCCCCGGCCGCAAAATGCTACAGATTTTGTCTCATGTAGCAGGGACAGACAAGTATAAGAATGCAGTTTTGGGCAGCATAGGCAGGATTTTGCCATTTCGGCAGAAGGATTTCACATTCCCAAGTTATCGAAAGTTCCGTTCCAAGGAAGCAGGGCTTTACTTGCCTGATCCTGCTTATGACATCACCATCGATAAAATTGTGCAGGTCGATTTTCTCTCCAGCTCTTGGTTCTTATCTGCGGAGCTTGTCAAGACACTTTTCATTGAAACGCCCTTCACCTTTGCAACTGGGGAAGATCTCCATCTAAGGTAACTTTACTACAGTTACATTACTGCATTCTTCATTTTCTACAGTACAGAAAATCAACTAGGTCATAAATCATAATATAATGTGACAAATCAAAGCATTAGAAACTACACTAGTGGAGAGCAATAAAGAAATCATGCACTATTTCAATCAACTTTTTGTAATGGAATCTTCTCTTCTCAGTTCAACTATTGGTCAACTTTTATGTTAGATATTTTATACTTATCAACTTCAAGTTCATGCCTGATCTCTATGCTGTTTCCACTACTCATATTTCAATATCTCCTAATTTGTCTGTATTATGTCACTATTCTGATTATATTTGTTGATTAATGCTGAATAAATAAACATAGAGAGAGGGAGAGAGCTTTTCTATACTGTGCAATAGAACCTCCTTTTAATGAAGCACCATCAGTATTTTTTTTTTAAACCTTATAAATGGCTTTAGCTGTGAAGTTTGATCTTATCCTTCCTGTAAGTTCGGGTTACCTAATTGTTGAGCATTCCAAATTATGCAGCTATCAGCTTCAAAAATACAGAAATGCTGGCTCATTTGTTCTTCCCGTAGACCCAAAAGACAAGGAAACCTGGGGTGACAGTGAACACAGGCTGGCTTATGTGTCTGAAACCACTGTGATATTTAAGGACATTGTTCAAGTTCGAGATGATCAATGGTGGAAAGCGCTTTCAACTGGTTATATCACACAATGGGCAGCCATGCATCCTCAAAAGATAGATGCTCTATTCTATGCTCATTCTGTTGATGAAGTTAAAGCACTAGCGCCACTTCTCGAAAAGTTCAGGTCCACTGTTGGCAAGAAGGCTTATATTGTGGTGTCGGGAAGCGGTTTTTGCACATGTGAAGATGCTGCAGCTTCTCTAAAATGGCCGAAGTTGGTTTGTAAAGAACGAAGGTTCAAGATATTTGACTTGGCCATTGGGGCTCTCTCTGGAATATCAAATTCTGAGGTGCCCGTGGTGCAAGCGGTGTATGCTAGTATGAAGGGATTGATCAAAATACATAATCCCAGCGTCGTCATCACAGTGGCCGACATTGATCCTAATGTAAAGAAGGCTTTGAAAATGGCATCAGAGGCTAACTTGAATGGTACAACACTGATTCTTTTACCAAGGCCTTCCATTTCAAAAGTTCTTTGGATGGCTGATCTTCGACCAACAGCACTTCCAAGTAAGAGTACTCAGAACTTTCTTTTTTCCCTCAGTTTTCTCCTGTTGGAAACTCTTGCCATAGCATAACAACACTTTTTCATTTTTCTTTCTTCAGATTGGAACAAGATGCGAGTTTCAGTCAACATTATCACTCAAAACCGTGCTAACTCGTTGACAAGGCTTCTCAAATCGCTCAAAGATGCATATTACCTAGGGGACGAGATACCTATCAGCTTCAACATGGACAGTAAAGTGGATGAGGAAACAATAAAATTAGTAAGCTCATTTGAGTGGCCCCATGGCCCCAAAAGCCTCAGAAGGAGAATCATCCAAGGAGGGCTAATACGAGCAGTCAGCGAGAGTTGGTATCCAGCTTCAGATGATGATTATGGACTCCTACTCGAAGATGATATCGAAGTCTCTCCATACTACTACCTATGGATCAAATATGCCCTCCTAGCGTACCACTACGATCCACAAGTATCGCTACCCGAACTATCCTCGATCTCCCTTTACACACCTCGGCTAGTCGAAGTGGTGAAAGAGAGGCCTAAATGGAATGCAACAGAGTTCTTCAAGCGGATTCATCCAAACACGCCTTACCTCCACCAACTCCCCTGCAGCTGGGGAGCAGTTTTCTTCCCCAAGCATTGGAGGGAGTTTTATGTTTACATGAACACAAGGTTCACTGAGAATGCGAAAGAGAACCCAGTTCAGATCCCCAAATCCAGAACAAACGGTTGGCAGGCATCATGGAAGAAGTTCCTAATCGACATGATGTACCTAAGAGGCTACGTAAGTCTGTACCCTAACTTCCCAAATCAAGCCAGTTTTTCAACAAACCACATGGAACCAGGCGCTCACATAAGTGCAAAAGACAACGTGGTGAAGCACAAGAAGGAAGATTTCGAGGTTCCATTACTGAAAGAAAACTTTGCAAATTTCTTACCGAATGGGAAATTGCCGGCGGCTTCGAGACTGCCGTCGCTGAACCTCTTCAACCAGCCGGTTTCGCTGAAGGGACTCAAGTCCGCCGGAGCGAAGCTAGGGCAGGATGTGCTGAAATGCGGCGTTTCGGAGAACGTAGCGGTGGATCAACAGACTGGTCTGCCTTCGCACTGTGCAAAATTCTGATTCGTTCTTGATGATGATTCTTTGCTTCTTTTCAACGATTCATTTTTCTGTGATTCCGTTCTCCTTGGATCTGTGATAGGGGGTGGGTGGAATTTGCTTGTAATCATTCTCTTTTGTTGAAATCAAACCAAGGGTTCTTACTTACTATCAATGGCCAAAGGCCAATTCATCAAAATAAAATTTGTATTTAAAAACTTATAAAAAAATCTTGGTCACCATTTTAATTCTGTCCATTTATGACAAAATTCCGTGTTTATTTAGTCCATGAAATTTGAAACACTCTTGACCGATTGCTGAATTCATTTTAACACTAACAAAATTTTGACATTTAATTGATTTGTTGGTTAGACAAAATATATTAATTTAATTAATATATATTTTTTATTACTAGACTTCATCTCTCTTCTCCCTCTTCTACCCATTTCTTTCTACCCGTGTGAACTTCGCCACCATCACTCTCGTATCTGGATCGTTGCTTGATTACCGTTGCTCTTGCCTCTTGCCCGTCGATGTATTCTTGGAGTGTTGATGTAGGATTTTGTCGAGCTATCGAAGGTCGATCATGTGGCAGCAAGAACAAGTTGACGAGATGCGACTTTAAGTAGGAAGGACCTGCAAAGGGAACAAACACTCTAATACTCAAATTAGAAAGGCACGAGCTACGGTAAGTCGTTCTCGGAGCAGAATTACGTAGCTGATGAAGGAGGTAGAGTGCCCCTTTTATAGGCAGGGGGAGAGGGCCGTTGGAATCGCTCCAATCGGCGGTTTTGGCTGTCGAGCCCCCAAGTCGGTTGTCGGATTTGAGGTCGAAGTCCTCAAGTCAGTCTAATGGGAAGATGAGTCGCAATAGTTGAGTTCTAGTCTCAGCTCAGTCTTCTCCGTTAGCTTAGTTGATCGTCTTTTACGATCACGAGCTAGGGTCTAGGTGTCATTTTGTATTGTCCCTCCAACATTGGCCCCTTCTCCAGCGGGTACGAGCTCCAACCTGGCAGAAGATATTGATGGAGTGGTGTTTGATTCAACTGAGCCATGGTGCGTCAAGCTGAGCTATAGATTCGATTGCTCTGATAGAATTTGGAAAGTCGCTCTGACAAGGCGGCGCACTCGAATAGTGAACTGTTGATCTGAGGCGCAATCTGGGCCACTTATTGGGTGATATGTGGACGGTTAAGATTGACTCCAGGCTCCTATATATAAAGTAACCATGTTAGTCTTCAATTTTCACTCTTTCATAAGTTTTTGCTCTTGAGCCAAGCTGAGCTACCAGGCGCTCCCCTTTAAAGTTTGGTCTTCTTTTCCTTAGCTTTTCCTAGCTTTCTTTAGTTGCTTTAGTAGAGATGTGTAGGATAGACCGTGGTAAAGATAGCTCGGGGAGTGGTAGGTCTAATGGTAGCTCATCGTTGAGCTATTTTAGCTTAGATTCATCTTTTATTCTCGAAGGTCAGGAAGAAACTCTTAGGAGCGAGGATTTTTCATCTAAGCTCGGTAGAGGATACATATACTTCATTAGGGTGAAGTATGAAGTACCCTCTTATATAGGTATGAGGCATCTTGAGAAGGGCGAAAAGCTGGAGGAGTCGTTCGCTGAACACGTAGGTTTCTATTTGAAGTTGTTCGAGTTCCACGTGTGTCCTCTCATTCATGCCTATGCTCAGGAATTCCTGAATAAAGTGAACTTAGCACTGCATAGCTTGCTCCCAATAGGTAGGGAACGTTTGTGTGAGTGCTATTATCTTTGGTTGATAGAAGGGAACGTGAGGGTGAGGGCCATACCGAGATAATAACCGTAGACCAGCTACTGGACACTCATATTGTCAAGACCATTCCCAAAATCGAGTATAGGTATTATATTTGTACTCGGAAGGGACAAGTCTATTCATTAAGGGTTCTTCCTCAATCAAAGACTGGAACGGCTAACGGTTTTACATCTATGGGGAATGACTCATCACCAATAGAAGCAGGGACTCATCCATGTCGTGCCAACTTGATTTGGCAACTTAGGTAAGGTCACTTTTCCTTAACTCGGTTTTTAATTGTAGCTTGATTAATTCGAATCGTCCATGTTTGCAGTTCTTCCCAAACTGATCCTGAAGGTGACCGAGCTAACGTGGTTATACCTCACCTCGATTCAAGTCGATCCTGTGAAGACACGAACAACAAAGTTACTGCTTACAAACTTGACTTTGATTGAGATCGGATTGCGCGAGTTCTTTGAAGATCTCTCTAACTCTAAAGGTCAATCTGCTGAGCGAAATATAACTCTGACCTTCCTTCTTTAGTTTGAGTCTTTAGATCGCATCTGACATATAATTTTTGTTGCAAATATGGTGCATACAATCTTTTCCCATGTGAAGAGAAAGGATTCCAAGGAGTCCAGCTCGATCCCCTTGGAATAACGTTGAGAAAAGTTCTTTTTCCCGATGCCTTTATTTCATTGGCACAAGCCTTAAAAATTCGTCACTCTTTGTTTACCGCCCAAATGACAGGGTACGACACCCAACTTTTTATCGATAAAGGAAAATTTCTTCGAGAAAATGAAAAATTGCTAATAATTTTTTCTTTTTGCCTTGAAAAGATCTATCGCCATAAATAAAATTATTGTAGGCGCAAATCCTTTTCGACTATTGATTGTGAAAGGGGTATCAAATTGTGTTCAACATCTGTAGTCCCATTCAAAATTTTTGGTTCCCCAAATTGTTTGATTGTGAGAGAAGGAACAATATATTTTACTCTAACCCCAAATATGCTTCTCCTCTTAAACGCGTTTCAAATATGATTAAGACTCTTCCATTAGTGTTTTTTTACAGCTCATCATATCACGTCACATTTTTGTCTTTGGCTTCGGTTTCAAGGAACCTTGAAGAATTCTCATACTTTGGCTCCTAACAAAATTATTCCTGCATCTACTGCCAATGGGGGAGGAAGTGCTTCAAGCTCATCCAATTCAGGTTAGGATATTTTGACAAAACATTGTAATTTTGTTCCTTCTCCAAAGTTGCCGCCAGAATCTGTGCAGCAACCGGAAAACCCATCGGAGACACAACCTCAGTCGGCTACGGTTACCCATCCAAAGCCGTTAGTCGACAACCAGGAGGACTTTAATGCTAGTATTAAAACAAAATTGAATTTGGAGGTTACTGCTCCTTTAGTTTCGCCAACCCAGCTGGATAAGGATCATGCAACCGTAATTATGGAGGGAATTAATGTGGATTCTAATGATTCCATAAACCTTGCTGATGCAATCAATGATAGTCAATTGGCTCCTACTGATCATACTATTCTCCCGGCCATCAAGGGAAATCTACGGATGTGTAGAAACGTGTACGTGAGGCTTAAAAACACATTCATCAACCTGATTTGGATCACATTGGCTCCATGAGGAAAGACATACCTTCTAAAATTGATCTTGTTCCCAAAAGAAGCAAACATGTCTCCATCACTATCCCAACTAATTTTTCTCTACCTACAACAGCGACGGTTGCTGAGCAGCCTCGCCGGGAGCCATGAAAACCTTATGCTATAATGTCTGTGGGTTGGGGGATCTCCAGACATTCAGAGTTGCCTGTGATTTTATTTGCCAGGAAAATCTTCACTTACTATTTCTCATTGAAACGAAATATAATTTCCTATTAACAAATAAATTGAAGCTCTCTAAACTTCATTGATTGTTTTACTGTAAACAGTACAGGTCTTAGTGGTGGTCTTTGCCTGCTTTGGAAGGATCCAGTGGATATCAATATACGAACTTTCTCTTCTCATCATATTGATTCTATAGTGCGTTGGTCCAACTTTGCTTGGCGCTTCAATATACGAACTTTCTCTTCTCATCATATTGATTCTATAGTGCGTTGGTCCAACTTTGCTTGGCGCTTTATGGGTTTCTATGGTCATCCTAAATCACACAAGAGAGTTCTTTCATGGGAGCTCTTGCGAAGGATTCACAATTTGGATGACTCCCCTTGGCTGGTTGGTGGAGATTTTAATGCTATCTTATGGCCCCATGAACAGACTGGTGACCGTCCGGATCATCGTCTTATCTCTAACTTTCGTTCAGCATTGGATTCTTGTTCTCTATTTGATATGAGCTATACAGGTGACCATTTCACATGGTGCAATAATCACCATGATTCTACACAACAATGGAGACGGCTGGACAGATTCATTTGTAATAGCTCTTTTATCAATTTATTCCCGAAGGCCTTGCCTCAACATCCCCTTTGGTCCAAGTTTGATCACAGAGCCATTGTGCTTATTCTGTCCCAACATTCTAATTTCAGAAAACAACGTTTTAAGCGAAGGAGTTTCAAATTTGAGAAATGTTGGACCTACAATGATTCCTGTTTTAACATTATCCAGGATTCTTGAGTCGGGTCGAGTGGAGGGCGATCACTTCCGTTAATTACCAACCTCGCTCGAGCCTATAAGGCCCTGTCTCACTAGGGAGATAGTTCCATTCAAGGTATTTTTCTAAAATTCGGGCGAAAAAGAAAGCTCTAGCTGATGCATATAGTAAGTCATTTCCCATTAATTTTAATTATGTGCATCAATTGGAAGCTGATTTGGCAAACCTTCTTGAACAAGAGGAGATTTATTGGAAACAACGTTCTAGGGAGGATTGGTTGAAATGGGGGGGACAGAAACACGAAATGGTTTCATAAAAAGGCATCGAAGGAGTTGCAACACTATTCATGGGATTTCTAAAGAAAATGGGGATTGGACTGAGGATGCTTCTGAGATTGAAGAGGCTTTTATCTCCTATTTCCACTCTATCTTCACCTATTGAAGCTGTCCTTTGACACATTCCTACTGTGGTGACTAATGCAATGAATCTGCAGCTCCTCTCTCCTTTCACAAAAGCAGATGTAGAGCTAACCCTTAATCAAATGTTTCCTACAAAGGCCCCAGGCCCTGACGGCTTCCTAGCTCTTTTTTACCAAAATTTTTGGGATATTGTGGGGCCAAATACAGTCGAGGAATGCCTACATATTTTGAATAATAGGGGCAGCCTTCAAGCATGGAATTCTACCAACATAGCTCTTATTCCAAAGTCCAAACAACCAATGTCAGTTTCTGATTTTAGACCCATAAGCTTATGTAACGTGCCTTACAAAATTGTTTCTAATGTCCTAGCCAATCGCCTCAAGCTTGTTCTTCAGGAGATCATTTCTCCCGCTCAGTCTGCTTTTGTTCCTAATCGTGCTATTAGTGACAACATCATCATTGCACATAAGTGTCTTCACATTATACAGGGTCAGAAATTGGGCCCAAATGGTTTGGCAGTGCTTAAATTGGACTTAAGCAAGGCTTTCGATAGAGTGGAATGGTGTTATTTGGAGAAATTGATGCTTAAGATGGGTTTTGCGCCTGCCTGGATTTCGAGCATTATGAATTGCATTTCAACTGCTTGTTTCTCTGTTCTGATTAATGGTGAGCCAAGAGGTGACATTTCTCCTTCCCGAGGTATTCGTCAAGGAGACCCTTTGTCAACCTACTTGTTTCTTCTATGCGCTGAGGGTCTCTCGAGGTTGCTCTACAATGCCAACATTTTCGGGAATATTAATGGAATTTCCATAGGTACGAGCGGTCCTACAATTTCTCACCTTCTATTTGCATATGACAGTTTAATATTTCTCAAAGCTAAAAAGAGCTTGAGTGTTTTTAGTTAAAGAATTTATTGCTCACCTATGGGAAAGCTTCTGGGCAACTCATCAATTTCTCAAAATCTACCTTAATGTTCTCACCGAATGTTCATTCAAACCGCCAGGAATATCTCCAATCTCTCTTAGGTGTTCAGCTCGTCTCGGATTTGGGGAATTACCTTGGCCTACCTTCTTCTTTCTTTAGAAGGAAAAGTCGAGATTGGGCATTTATTAAAGATCGAATCTGGAAAGTTATGCAAGGTTGGAAGCAAAATTTATTCTCTGTTGGTGGTAAAGAAGTCTTGATCAAAAGTGTTGGCCAAGCCATTCCTTGCTATGCAATGAGTGTTTTTCGTCTTCCGAAAGACTTTTGTGAGGATATTTCGCAGATTTTTGCTCGCTTTTGGTGGGGTTCTACAAGTGATCATAAGAAGATTCATTGGATGAGTTGGAAGCGAGTGTGCCTTCCTAAGAACCTTGGTGGACTAAACTTCCGTGACATTGAAGGTTTTAATAAGGCTCTTCTAGCTAAGCAAGCAGGGAGGTTTCTTCAATATCCTAACTTGCTTGTTTCTAGAGTTATTAAAGCAAAATATTTCTCTGATTCATCCTTGCTTGAAGTTGAGGCGCATCTCCATTCTTCCTATTTTTGGAAGAGTCTTCTATGAGGCAAGGAACTTTTGTCTAAAGGATTAAGGAAGCGTATTGGTTCGGGTCATTCTACAATGTTGTTTCATGATCCTTGGATCCTGCGAGAAAGGTCTTTCCGACCTTTGCTTAGTTCCTCATTTTCTTTAGATTTCAACATTTTGGTCTCAAATCTTATTTCCCCACCGGGTTGTTGGAATTTACAGAAGTTTCAATCTCTTTTCTGTCATGAAGATATTGACTATATCCGGTCTATCCCTCTAAGTAAGTTCAATTTACCGGATAGATGGCAGTGACATTATGATCGCCGTGGTTTTTTCAATGTTAAGAGTGCCTACAAGCTCTACATGACTCTAAATATGACTCATCAACCTAGCTGTTCAACTAATATGGGCAATTTCTGGCAATCAATTTGGAAGCTTAAAATCCCAACAAAGATCAGAATTTTTCTATGGAAAGCTAGCCATGATCTTCTTCCTACTATAAATAATCTTTATGAAAAGGGGCTTGAGGTCTTACCCTTTTGTCCGTGTTGTAGGAAGTATGTTGAAACCTCGGGTCATGCTATTTTTCTGTGCGAACGGGCTCATCAAATTTGGCAAACTTTATTCCCTTGGTGTCAATTTCTTCATCATCATCATCTGGCCTTCTCGGATTTCTAGGATCATATTCATAACAATTTCTCCAATGGTGAGAAGGAGCTTGCGGCCATCACATGTTGGTCAATCTGGAATGATCGCAATCAATTGAACCAACAAAAACAAATTCCTAATGTTGAGGTAAAAACTAGTTGGATTACCTCTTATGCAAACTCCTTTCGAGAAGTTCAGAGCTTGCCCACTTTAGTTGTCTTGCGTGACAGTCCTCATCTGTCATGGGTTCCTCCGACTGTTGATAGCCTGAAGCTAAACACGGATGCCACATGCAAGGAGACGATTCAAGGTACCGGCGTGTGTTTTATTTTTCGGGACTCTTCTGGTACAATTTGTGCAACGGGATCCTTCTTCCACCCATTCTATCTTCCGCCACTTTTAGGAGCTTCTCGCGATTATACAAGGATTGGAGCAGGCTCAAACTCTTAATTGCAGGAAAATTATGGTGGAATCGGATTCCCTTCAAGCAATTTCTCTTTTTCAACAAAAGTCGAAATCTTTGGCAGCCTCAAGCGTCTGGGTCCACGACATCTTGCAGCGAGCTGGTCTTCTTGATTTTTGCTCCTTCAATTATGTCCCTCGTGCTTTAAACCGCCCAGCACATTCTTTGGCTAAATGTGGGTTTCAATCGGGTTTTTCCAATTTCTGCACATCTTCTTTTCCCCTCTGGCTTTGTGGCCTTGTTGAGGAGGATCTGTTGTCTTCTATTGCCCACGTGACTTCTTCTTAATACATAAGCATTATCATTTCAAAAAAAAAATGTAGTAAAAAATACAAGGAGAACTCACACTTATGCTATATTTCAAAAAGAACTTAAAAGTTGTAACAATATGTTTATAATTGATATATAAATGTTTTAGTATAACAAATGTGGGGATGAAGATTGAACCTACGACTTTTAAGAAAGAAGCAAGATGCTTTAACTGCAAGCTCACCATGTTGAGGGCTTAGAATAGATATTAAAGGTAAGTTAAACAAATATATTTGGTCATTGTACTTTCATTAAAGTAACGATTTAATCTCTAAACTTTCAAAAGTAACGATGATTTGATCTATGTACTTTTAAATTAGTACAGTCTCTACCATTAAACATGATATTAATATTTAACACAAGTTATGATGTGGCTACAAACTACGAATCTATGTGTACAAATTAAAAAGTGATCTCAACGTAATTAAGGATGTTCAAGCCTGGATTAATTCAAAATTGAATAGGTTAGTTTGAGCACGAAAATTTGGCACTCAACCGTCTTGCTAATCTTGATATAGAGAAGACTTGCAAAAGAGAAGTGAGCACTCCAACACAAGTCCACACAGGTCCGAATTAGTTTAGTCTTAAATTCAAGACAAGATTCAAATGCACCTATAAGTCAACTTTAGCTTTACCATTTATAGGAGGCAGTTTATGACGAGGTAATGACATTTTTTCTTGATCATAGCATGTTTCAAAGATTGTGCAAATGTTAACTGCATGTCCCCAATTACTCCCCGAATTGCAACGTATCCTTGATATTACTTCAAATGGGGTGGCGGAATATAAAGATGTCGAGATTGTCTCTGAACTCCTCCTTCTAATGTTGTTACTATCAATATTCATGGGGTTCCATCTTAAAACTAATTGGCAATGAGAGGAGTAGCACATGTCTATTATAAATCTATGTAAGGTCTCTTCTTTTATCGATACCCCGTCAAGATCGTGGCTCTTTTGGCTCATCGATCTTGGCCGGATCCCATTTTTGGACCGATTGCTCGTTTGAGCGTTTTGAGCTCTGATACCATATCAATATTCATGGAGTTCCATATCAAAACCAATTGGCAATGAGTGGAGTAGCTCATGTCTATTATAAACCTATGTAAGGTCCCTTCTTTTATCGACGTGGGATCTTTAACAGTTACAAGAGATTGATGCATAATTATTATGCTATGTATGAGTCTGACTTATAAGATATGAAGCTTAGAGACAGTTTGGTAATGTTTAGTTTATGAACGTTAACAACGACGTGACTTAATGCTTAATATCATCATATTTTATAGGTTAAATGATTTACAAGAACGACAAGATAATGCATGAAGGATTTCAAAAAATATGTGTATTCAAATAAAGTTTATCAAAATAAAAAGGCTATAGCGTTCCTCTAGTTCATTATAGGACACATAAGCGGGTGAGAATATATGCAAAACTGATGAGTTATGTAGACTTGTTTGGTAACCATTTTTTTTCTTATTTCTCATTTTCAATTTTTGAGCAACATAAAGATTTGATATCTGTTTTTGTTTTTTGTTTTTCATTTTGAAGAAATATTTCCACAATAAAATCAAGTTTCATGTTTCTAGTTCTTATACTTTTCAGTTTTTTCCAAAACATAATTATTTTGTCAGTCTGTATAATAAATATTAAAAATAAATATAAAAGCAAATATTGGAATATTTGATTTCAAAAATTATTTTTCATATAAAAATTTACTTTTTAATTTTAAAATTTTAGCGATCAAGAAACAAAAAAAATATTACCAAACATGTTTTTTTAAAATAACAAAAAACAATAAATAATTACAAAAATTTAATTCTATTTTTATTTATTAAAAAGAAGACACAATAAATAAGAAACCGAAATGAAAAATAATAAATTGAAATATTACCAAAAGGAGCTCGTTAACAATTCAATATTTTTTTGAGTACAATATGTAGGGGTGGGGATTGAACTCACAACCTTTGGGAATTATACCAATTACCGCTGAGCTATGCTCGTCTTGGCAATAATTCAATATTTTTAAAATTTATATATTTGGCAATTAGTTTGATTTGACATAATTTATGTGAATTATTTTCTTATATTCACAAATTTTGCTAGTATGGTATTAAATATTTCTAGGACGCAGGTTGAGTAATGCCTCAACTAGTTATGAAAGTCTGAGTCATAAAGTTTAGAAGTTGTAAAGACTAGTCTACCCATAAGTTAGATTGTTTGTTGCTTTGATGACCACTCACATTGACATCTCGACGAAAAGTCATTATTTGTGTCACATTTTATAAATTCAATTCTACCTATATTCTTATAAAAAGAAAAATGGATTCTTTTGAGTCTTGACCTAACATTAGAAGAAGCGGCTCATGTGTCAAAGAGGCTATAGGAAGACATCTTGCCATGTTCAATATTTGATTGAATTATATGTTGATCACATGTGAACATATGTATGTTTAGGTTATTTATGAGTGAGTTGGTCTTGTGGCATTAGTAAATGACCCCACATAGGAACTATTCCAATATATTATTGCATACCTTATAGAGTCAATTTCCAACCAATTTTCTACCTTAATATCAAAGAAGGTGTTGGGTAAATATACGTTGTATATATAAACTGAATAACATTGGCAAATTGATAGAACGTAACTGGCTACAAACAATACAGATTCTGACAACTTGATCAACATCAAAACTTGATAAATATAGTCGAGGCACGCTTCCATGGTGCTAACCTGAACATGCTCTGCACAAGTTGCTAGTAGATTACAGCGATCGTCGCGACATGATACAACAACTAACTCCGGTAGAATAGTAATCTCGAACTACTCGGATCTGGCAGAACTCATACACACGTACTTGTAGTTGCTCTCAACACAAACAAGAACAACACCCCCAAAAAGAAGAGAGAATTCTTGTGAGAGGAGGAGGAACTCAAATGAGAAAGCTTGATATCTCAAATGAGGAAAACCACAACTATATATTGGTTTTTCAAACATGTAACATCTCACAAGTATCTTTAACACTTATGTAACCTCTTTACATATATTGCATAATGTAACTTTAATACATATAAAGTTACAAATGTGTAACTTTGTAACTTTAACAAAATAAATAAACAACTTTTCATTTAAATAAATAACTTCAAGTTTAATAAATAAGGAAACAAAACCACTAAAATAATAAACATATTCATAATACATATGTGAATAAATTTCTTTGACTAATATGTCTTCCAGAACCAGGGGTCTTCGAGCCTGCTGCATACAATTAACCAGCCTTGTGGCGGCAAAAGGATTAGACGTCCCCCCATGCTACAGGGACAATGTGCATACTCCTTAGATATATAGGCATAAATGCCAAAGGATCGGGACTCTTGGGTAATCATATATATAGATATATATCTTCTCAAAGTATATAGGCATAAAGACCAAAGAATCGGGGACTCTTGGGTAATCATATATATATATTATATAGAGGATTCGAATTCATAATCTCTTAGTCATTGATAGGTGTCAATTACTGCTGAGTTAAACTCAAATTGGCCATAATTTAACCAATATATTTTATCTCATTAAAGAACTCAATTCACAACCAGGTATTCAATTTTCGTTAATATTTTTACATATCAGTGAGTTCGAAACAAAATATTACTAATATTAATATTAATATTTTGAATTTATTAAAAAACGATGAAATGTTTATTTGTTAATTTAAATATTTATTATACTTTAATTATTTTTATAAAATTTTCATAAATATTCATCAGTATTTCTATCATTTAACGCTAACACTAAAAAAAATAATAAGAAAACATGTTAGGAAGTAGGAACAAACAAATTCTAATTCAATAGATAAGGTTCAATAAAAAAAAAAAAAAAATTCAATAGATAAGGTGGGTCCCTATGGTCATGGGTTTGTTTTTAAAATTTCTCAACATAATAATAATATCACAGACATTTTAAATTTAAAAAAAAAAGGAAAAAAAGTGAGGGAGAGAGAATTTGTGCGGGGCCCACCACTAACGAAATAACAAAATAACGAACTGATAATAGGACAGGAGGGAATGGCGCGCGATGTCCTTCGCAAATTTTAATTAATTAATTAATTTAATAATTCGAAAATTCTAATTCCTCACAATCTCCAACGACAAATATTACTTATTGACATTTAAAAAATAACGAGGAAAAAAAAAAACTTTCTCAAGGAAGGGAAATATTGTAATTTCGTAGAGGAGTAAAAATAAAAGATTTAAATATAACTGTGGTCCATATACTTTTTTATCTTCGGTTATTTRTATTCTTACATGCTATATTTTGATCTCTTTATTTTTAACTTTTGTTCACTTTGATTTTTATATTTTTTAAAACGTTCGTTTTGGTTCCTATATTTTTTAAAGGTGATCATTTTGATCATTAWTTGTAATATATATAATGAAAACTCTTTAATATAAATTTATATTTTAAGAAACTCAAGGAGCATATTGTAATGTTAAAATTATGATAGAAAAAATAAGATAAAATTAAAATTAAAATGATACCAAAATGATAATTTTTTTAAAGTACAAGAATCGAAATATACATTTTAAAAGTACAAGAWTTAAGATGAATGAAAAGTTTAAAATATATTGACCAAAATGATCACGTTTTAAWAATATAAAAACTAAGATGAATAAAAGTKAAAAGTAAAKGAATTTTTAAAACTACRAGGACTAGAATATCAAAGTTGAGGGAAAAAAAATCTCGAAGAAGGGTAATATTGTAATTTTGCACCAAAGTAGAAGGGAAACAGATTTTAAAAGAACACGGGGTTCACATGCAATGCATTGAGTTTCAAAAGACGTTGAAACATATTGGGAATTGTGAATTTCGAAATTCAAAGTGGAAAGTAAAATCCACTTATTTTGAACGCCTAAAAGAAGATTTATATTTTGTAAAAGTTTGATTGGAATTTCAATAATTAGTTCTTAGAACTTAAATATAAATTGACAAAAGATAAAATTAGGTTTGTTGGTATGAAAGTTTTGACATTTACCGCTTGCCCCATATTTTATTAAAAAAGAAAAAAAAACTAATATAATTTGATAATAAACAAAAGTTAAAAGAAAATAAAAGTAAAAGTTCAAACAAGATATAGAGTTTAGGTTAAATTATAGATATTAAAAATACAAGGTTTAATCTACTATTTTAGTGTTTATAGTTTTGTGCTTTATTTTAATTTGGTCTCTAAGTTTTAAAGTAATCCATATGATTTTGGTCAAATCTCTCCAGTCGTCTTCACCATTACTAAATGTTTATAGTTTTCTTACGTGTCACCTTTTTTTTTTTATAGTTTTGCTAATTAAGAAGAGACGATAAGCTAACATTCATTATAAAGTACGTATGTCGGTGAAAAGGGAAAATAAGTTATCGAGAAAACGGGTATTTCCTTTTKAATATTAGTAGATTTTTGAAAATTATGAAGATAAATTAGGATGTAATTTAATATTAAAAGGAATGTAGGTTTTCGAGATTTATTTTTCATGCTAAGATGAACATATGTCTGAGAAAGTTYAACGAAATCATACACACCAAATTAAAAATTCTAAATCATAAGGATTAAAATAAAATTCGAAACCAAAACTATAATTTAACTGTAATACAATTTAATTTAAGATTTAAATTAAAACATAGAGAGTTCAATTTAGGATTGAAAATTTCAATCTCGAGTCAAACCAAATGGATTTCATGGAAGAACTCCCACAGGCGATCGTACTCTATTTTTTGAAAGTTGAATCACAAGAGAGGCATTTTGTTTGTTTATGTATCCTTGGAGGTTGAAACACACCAAATTTGTTCTTGTAAACACAAAATTGGTGTCTTTTAACTCTCTTAAAGATTATTTTTTAAAAGAAAACAATCTTAATCTTAATGATAAAGGGGGAGAAGGTTGGTTTTTGGTTTTAAAAAAAAATTATAAAATAAATTAAGAAAGTTGATGGGGGAGGGAGAGCTGAACCTGCAATCAAACAAAATATCTGAATCATTGAGTTATGTTTATATTGGCAGTATTTTTGAAATTTTAAGATATATCTAAAACTTATATGAAACGATAGCGGATTGATTTAAGGTGTGTTAAAGAGTGTTCTATAAACCAATAAAACTACCTTGATCAGGATATATTCTTTGACATATGTATTACATATTGGGTTTATAARGAGTGCAAACAAAGTTCCACATTGGCTAGCGAAGGAGAAAACATTGGTATATATRTGAGGGACGATATCTCCATTAACATGAGACAAAAATCATGAATGTTATATCCAAAGCAGACAGTATCATACTATTGTGAAGATACTTCCGGACTTGAGGTACTGTTATCCTTAACAATGTTGGGACTTTACACGATTGAAACTGCAATTTTTTTTTCTAATTAAGTGATAATCCATTTTTATATGTTTTATTTGAGCGTGGAACGGTTGATGACATGCTACAGTCAGGTTGAGGTGACTTTGAATATTTTATTCTAATGTCTCATAGGTAGACTAGTGAAATTTTTGCCTTAACTTTCAATTCCACATTTTATAGAAAGAAAATTATTAGTCCAATGACAATACTACTTAATATCTCAAATTTAATTTTTTGTAATGAAAACTTCACTCTCCTGTGTGTGACTGAATTATTTAACSTGCAATTAACCATATTCTGTAGGTTTGGTTCTTTACTTTATATATTTTTTAAAGTGTATAAGGTTTCATATGTGTAGTGAAAATAAATAACAATAATATTTACTACAATTATTGATAAATAATGTGACAWYAATGACAATTTATATCATTTCCACATTTGTAGGAGTATTGTTTATGTTACCTATATTACTTTCAATTAAATTAGGTAATTTGTTGCTTCTTTTTTTCTTTTTTTGAGAAAAGGTAATTTGTTACTTCTTTCAAATAAAATGGATAAATTCATCAAATCTTAATTTGAAAACTTGAACATTGGTTTTATTTAGATCATTTCAAAAAGTACACACTTTCAGTGAAAATTCTCCCAAAATAAGAAAAAATGAATTCCRAAAAGTATTATTCGTCATTGTTACTGTGATATCTCGATCTCAAGAATTGAAGATGTGTGAGTACACATCATTGAAAGAATTATTAGAAAAAGAAAATGTTCCACGGCCCCCATTGGCAGAGGGAAAAAGGAATACAATTTTAGCTTAAGCTCTAGAGTGAATAAAAGCTAACCCAAAGCTTTTATTTAAAAGGTTGATGGGTTATCCTATTATGACTCATCATGTGTCATATGTCGAGTTCGTTCGTTAGTAAGTTGTTGAATGATATTTTGGAGGATTAGTGGATTCGATGGCAGTGTGCCAGRGAAAGGGCCAAGTCATGGGTCCTTTTGACAGAACATTCTCAGCGGCACTTAAGAATCAAGAGCTTATAAGAACCAGACTATCTCTCTTTTTATTTATACGTAATATCTTAAAGCTCAATACCCAAGTAGGCTTACAAAGTTGATCATGTTCCAGTGCTTTCTAGGTCGTCTCGGACCTTGCGATCAAGCTTTAACCCCCAAAAATATTGATACTTTTTACATCCTCTATCAATTAGTGTTTCCTTGAAACACTTGATTTTACTTGGATTTAAGATAGCGGTTGGATCCATACGTCAAATCAATATAGATTATTTGTGGACCATGTATTAAACTTAACTTATTATAGGTTGAGCCATTTTATCTTTTACTTCTACTAATAGATTCCATCTACTAAATAACGTCTTATTTTAAACATTTCTATACTTTATTTTCCCTAAACTAAATCGAAGACTACAACGATATCAATTACAAATTCAAATTTGTATTTCCACCCACCATTTTAAGGCCTCAAACTTAAATTAAATTCAAGTACTTAAAACCACCACTCCACCACCAGTTTCTTCACAAAAAAATACCTATTAAAGCTATAGAGAGAAAATGCAAAAGTCTTGACCATAATAAAGAGAGAATACAAAAACTGAAGTGTTTATCAGTTCATAATGAAAAACTTCCTCTTTAGGAGTGGAGTCATGTTAGGAATAGTGGGTCAAATACTATGGTATTTTTTTTGTTCATAATGACTATTTTATGGATCACAACATTAAAAATTTTCCTTTTTTTTTAATTTTTTTATCAATAAGGACAACATTAAAAATTTTCATTTGATTTTTCAAAAAAGAAAAGGAAATTAGTTAATTTTTTTTTAAAAAAATCTTAATATATCATGAACATCAAGAACATAACTCACATAGCTCAGTGATTAAGGTATCTCTACTTTTTTAATAGATTCTAGCTTTCAATAGTTGTGATACATAATAGATTAAGAGAATATTAAATGTTTGAATAAAGAATAATAATATATATCACTAAATGAGATTTTTTAAAATAATTTGTTCAAAGTTGTGTTTTTGTTTTATTATGAACTAATATTGGTCCATCTATCTTTGAAATTGAATTTAAAAGCTATATTTCAACCTAAATGTTTATAAGATATTATTGATAATAAACAACGAATGCTAATTTAATGGAACTTTTTTTTAGTGCAACATGTTGGGGAGATTCGAACTCACAACCTTCTGGTTGAGAGTATATGCCAATTATCGTTGATGCTTTGACCTAATTTAATGGAACTTTCTTTTTTTTTTTAAATAACCTAATTTAATGGAACTTGATGACTTATCTACCAACATATATCTTGCATTTTACTAATTGTATCAGAAGTTAATAACTCCACGTATTGCTTGATAAAATATCTTGCATTTTCTGCTTTCATAAAGGCTTCTTGAAATAAGAATATTCATTCAATAAAATCTTCAAAATTTCCATAGTTTAAAATTAAAGTAGTCATTTTTTTTTTAAATTTATAACTAGAGACGTTAAAGTGAGTTATTATTTTGGATTTCAGTTCCTTTTGAAGAGTAGACTTTCATAGCATGTAGCCCATGTGTCCTTTAATTTTACTGATAAGTCTTTCCCTAAAAAAACCATTCTACCTTCTGTCCAAAAAAAAAATAGTTTTTTTTTACTTTTATTTATTTATTTTATCTAATCTGCTAACAAATTTTTAAAGTTCAAATTTCAATTTAGCCACATTTACAATTTCCTTTTCAAAAATTTGATTATTATTTTTCTTAAAACTGCGGTAGACAAATGAGTAATAAAATTTAAAAACATAATTACGGTATCAAAATTCAATTTCACATCTAATTGTTTTTAGTTTTACTATATTTGACTGGCAAGTGTGAAATTTTTAGAATGCTGTAATCATTAATCCAGAAACAAAAATCTGAAACAAAATATTCAAAGAAAACCATTATATATATATATTTTTTTCCAATATGCATATCTTAGCTGATTTAATCAATTTATTAACATAGTAATTTAAAATATATTATGTTTTACATATTTTTATTTTAAAAAATGAAATAATTTTTTTTTGTTCAACACCATTTGGATATAAAGAAATTCTAATTTCCAATCCATTGATGATAGAAGATATATGTTAGATTGATAATATGAAATAATATATTTATCAAATTTTTTTAATGTAATTATATCGATTAAATTTTTAAATTCAAATCTGAAAATAGTGAAATTTTCAGGATTTCTAATCCAAAATAAATTTAAAATACAAATCTACCAAAAGATAAATTCATTTGATTAATTGAATATGAAAACTAAAGACGATAGATATTTATTATTAATTTTATCCATTATATATAAATATTTAAAACTTTTTAACCTAGTACAAATTTTTGTTTTTTTCTTTTGAAAAGTAACTTAATGTAAAATTAATGGTGGCAATGTTGGTTTACAATTTTACCCCTCCAGAGGAAGTATCTCTCTGTTAGGCAGGCTGTCTTTTAACGTCATTTTGGAGTTGTCAACTGTGCCTCTGTGGATATATATATGTCCAATGGCGCTCTGTTTTTTCATATTCTTACGAAAATCATTCCAATTCTCTGTTTCAGAGAGTGGAAAAGAAAGCTGTTGAAGTTTTGGGCGTAGCGATTAATTCTCCCCTTCGTTCTCGGAGGTGGAGAAAATCTAGCCCTTGTTTTCAACACTATTTCCCACCAACCGGAGAAATTTTGATTGGTTTTTTTTCCTCCCTTTTGTTTTGATGGTTTCTGTTTGGATGCTGAGAAAATTTGAGGGGGAAAAGTGCCTTTCTGGGACTCTGGAAGTTTCTGAAGGCGGGATTTTGGTGGGCCCTCATTGATCGCGAGGCCTGTCTCTCGGAATCCCAACACGATCTCGGGAATTTATGAGCACGAGATCCCTCAAACCGATACTGGTAGGACATCCATCTTCCTTCTGGGTTTCCCTTTTTCTTGTTGTTGTCGGGTTAATGCTCTGTTTCTTGCCGCTTGAATCGATGGATTTCGTTTCTGTTCCTCTTCTGTGTGCTTCTTTTTAACTCTTGCGCCTGGTGGGTTTGTTTCTTCCTTTGCATTTCTTCGCTTTTTTCTTTCGCTTCTTAAATTCCCGAGCTATTATCATCTCCTTTCTGGTCTGGTGAATCTGTGATTCTCTGGTGCGGTTATTTTTAGGTGGGTCTTTTGGTCTGGCTTGTGGCTGATTTTTTTACCTCGTTATTAGTTCTGAGGATGCTTTCTTCATAGAGCGAATAAGGTTTGAGCTTTAGAGAAATGTTTAATCAATGATTTTAAGAATGTTTGTGGAGATGTTATTTGACTAATATTGATGTCTGCCAATGGGTAAATATTTGTTTTTTAGCTTAATATCTTGATTTTTAATAGAGGTTTAGTCAATGATTTTAAGAATATTTGTGGAGGTTGACTAATGATTGATGTCTGCCAATGGAGAAATATTGTTTTCAAGCTCAATATCTTGATTTTTAAGAGATGGTATGAAGGATCTGATATCCTATATATGGTTTTGTTGTCCCCTTATTTAGTAAATACATAAATCATTTTTTCTATGAATGCTCTTTCCTTAATCTTTTAACCTCTGCTTTTTCAGTGGTTGAAGGAGTGAGATGCATGGATCCTACTACTAAGTTAACTTTGTTTCTGATATTCTTCAGAATAGGTTGGTACCTGCCTACCTCTGCATTATTCTTTTAGATTTCTTTATCCAATTTCTTTTCTTCCATTTTTACCCTATATTGCTCACTTGCCTTTAGTAAAGTAATGTGAATCCACAAATTTGATCTTGAAGGTAATACAGAGAAAGTCATATTATTTGCATCAATTTGAGCAATAAAATCTGTAATATTTTGTAACGTCATGTTTTCTTGGCATCTTGCTCTTATTTATTGATAAACTAAGTTCTTTGCATTATATGCCAGCATGTGCTTCAACCGTTGAAAACAATTTTGGACACTGTGAAAGGGTTGTCAAAAATTGGGCCTCATCTTCTCTCCATCAAGGTGTCAACAAAGATAAACATACACTGCAAGATTTACTGTTTTTTCTTCATGTCCCAAGAACAGGAGGGCGATCATACTACCATTGGTAACTTCCAAAATCATGAAATTTACTGAATATTGACCACCCAAGTATCGGAGTTTTAGTGTTTATTTGGTTCCGTAATGGTATGCAGTTTCTTGAAAAAGTTGTACCCAAGCTCTCAAGAGTGTCCCCGTTCTTATGATAAGCTTCGTTTTGATCCCAGGTATAATTTTATTTTCTCATGATGGTTGTCATTTTCTTTTTCAAATTGTTTCATATGAGGTGCTTTTAACTTTTGAAAATATTCTATGTTTTTCTAGTTTTAATTTTACCTTATTTTACAATATTTTACAATAATTATTGATCTTTAGTTTCAAACCCATTTTACATATGAAAAACTGAAACCTGAATACAGAAAAATTCAATTAATCATATTTTTATCATCATAACTGAGAACAACTTTTTGAGGAAGAGAATAATAGAAGAACATTGGTTAAAGAAGTACTCATCAAAAAATAGCAACTAGAGAGTATGTTATTTTTTTCAACATTATGTTATTTTTTGGGGGGCTTGGGGAAAGGGGAGTGGAAACTAAAATTTTTGATATTATGTTACTTTGGGAGGTAGGGGAAGGGCCCGGCCCTTCCTATGATATCAGGAGATGAAGGGAAACGTATTGAAATCAGAACCTAAAACTTTTGGATCCAAGACTAACTTTGTGATAGTATTCTATTAATTTTCTTGCATCTGTATGTATTGTATTTGAATTGCAGCAAGTCAAAGTGCAGATTGTTAGCTACTCATGATGATTATAGCATGATGCAAAAACTTCCCAAGGAGAGAACTTCAGTGGTGACAATTGTCAGGAATCCAGTTGACCGGGTTCTTAGTTCTTATGAATTTTCAGTTGAGGTAGCAGCTAGATTTTTGGTACATCCCAACCTGGCTTCTGCTACAAAAATGTCCAAAACCGTACGTGCTAAGACAAAGGGAGTGAGCACACTAGATATTTGGCCGTGGAAGTATTTGGTTCCATGGATGAGGGGAGACCTATTTGCTCGAGTAAGTGTCCTGTTGGCCAATCTTGTCATTGTGCATCTTCATAATGAATTTTTTGAACAAGTGGAGAAAAATATAATTAGATGTATAGAACATGAATGACTTGCTTACACGAATACATTTATACAAGATCTAGGATTACCTAGTGATTATAAATGTGTTTAAAGGCATGCTTCGGGACACAAGGGGGTTTGGTGAGGCAGTGTCATAAATGCTGCCCCCTTATTTCCTTTTTCCTTTCTGTTTCCCTAATTCTTGTAGTTTCTTTTGGTTTTGTATATGTATTGTATGGCCATATTTGTGTCATGGTGTATTTTTTAGCTGTGTAGACATATGGTTCAATCAAATTTCCATTTTGGTTACATCTCTAATTATATAGTTCACTATTCTTAGATCAATAAAAGAAATTACAGTTTTATCCGCCTCATTGTATAGAAAGCCATGGGGATTGAGGATTTTATTTTTCCATTCTCATCTGCAGATAGAATATGTTGTATCTTTGTAAAATATCATGAATGAGAATTGAGGCTGTGCTTCATGCTTAATATAAACACCAAGCTTTGGAGCTGTTTTGGTCAGAATGAGAATTTGATAAGAAAAGCAAGCTGTATCTAGAGTTTGTAGAAAAATCAGTCTTTGGAACCTTTTTTTAGTTTGCTTTAATGGATGACCTTTTTCTTTCTTCAGTCTTCTTCTTATTTTTTTTCCTTCTGGAACTGAATTTATTCTTTATGAGCTTGTCAATAACGATTTCAAGTGAAAAAATTAAAAGGGAAACAGTTATTTCTACAAATTAATGTGGAGTAGTCTCAAAGGGAATTTAATGATGAGAAATTACGGTTGTGGGCTTTTAGCCTATGTGTGTGATATGATATATTTTATTAATCATTTAATCTTGATTTTTTTCTCTCTTATTTACTAACTACAATCTTATCAAAAACATCACTATCTACTGAATGTTCTGAACAGAGAGATGCTAGAAGACAGAAGGGTCTTAGTGAGGTCAAGAGCAATAGTCCATATGACATGGAGGACATTCTTATGCCACTGCATGAGTTTATTGATGAGCCCATTGCTCATGAGATTATTCATAATGGGGCTACCTTCCAGGTAATTCTGAATTTGTTAAAAGTATTGGCATTATTGTGATTTAGACAGTTTTCACTGTTGGTTGTTCTCTAGATGGATATATTTGTTTGTATGTCATCTCCAGTCCCGTTTCACTTTAACATCATCTGGTTTGTAAGATATAATAGTGTACGAGTATGAATTATTTCCAATTTTTTTAAAGAGTGATTATAGTGTTCTCAATTTTCTCGACCCGGAAGTTAGCCAGTTAATTTGGCCCCTCATTTGGTTATTGGGATCAGCTACCAAATGAGTGCTGTCTCGTGTGGGCTTCAAGTTTAAATTACTAAGTTATTATAATTTATACATTTGTCGATGTTTTTTGGTACTTTCAAACACCATCAGCTATATGAAGTTGTTTAAATAATACCAATCAGATATCAGTTTTCTTGGTGCAATACACTATTAATAATGCATTTTATGATGCACTTTTTCGTTCTTTTCAAAATGTGGTTGATAGTTGACTATTGAAAAGTGTACAGATAGCTGGATTGACAAACAACTCCTACCTAGCTGAATCACATGAGATCCGGCACTGTGTACAGGAACATAAGAGTCTTGGTCAACATGTGCTTCATGTGGCAAAGGTAACAAGAGAAGGTTTCTTAAGTTATAAGTCAATACTTGGACAATTATTTTTCTGATACTTTGCCTCCTTATGGTTGCAATTATGGTAGATGCTTGTAAATCTTGCAGAAGAGGTTGGACGATATGCTATATGTTGGTCTAACTGCGGAACATAAGGAATCTGCGGCGATGTTTGCAAATGTRGTTGGTGCACAGGTGATTTCACAGCTAAAAGATGCCAACTTTAGCATGGACACTTTAGCTGACAATCAATCAGGTTTATTTTTTTTTCTGTCTTTTCATTCAAAGAGGGTATATTTTAATATAATAGACAGGTAATCATTCATTAAGAATTTAAGAGCAATGATAATTTACAAAAGGAGGGGAGAGCTCCTCTAACTAAGGAAGTTTCAATGAAGTACTTCTAATCTATGAAAATAAAAAAAAAGGTGTATGTAGTTCTGAATTTATATATATTTTTTGGGGTGTTATGAGAAATGTTGTCCTGTGGTTTGTCTAACGTCTCATTTTGAATTACAGGTAATAGCTCTTTGCATTTGGATTCTGAGCTTGAGAATAATGTTGATCAGGCAAACTCCTCTCCCTGTTTATTACTTATTTCATTTGCATAATTCGAGATTGTTATTTATCATGCGTTTCCATTACAGAATAATAATACCTTGGATGAAAAGGCTACCCTACGAAAAGAAGTTGAAACAAAAAGGGAAAATGTAAGTCACCTCAGAAAAATTTTATATCTGCAGTTTATATATATCTGGTCTAAAGTTGTATTCCTTGATTTCTGCATGGCAGATGACTGCCACAGAACTTATTGAAGTTTATGAAGGGTGCATTTCAAGTCTACTAAAGACCCAATCACGTCGTCGGTTTGCTTCTTTAAAGAAGATATCTCCTGCAAATTTCTCAAAAGAGGTACAAGTCGATACCCGATTCTACTGAGTTTTATTGTCACCATTACTCTGCTAGAGAATAAACGTATAGGGTCCTTCACATAAAAGCTTTGCTGATCCATTATATTTGAAGTCATAGTCCTTTGTGGAAAATTGAGTGGATTTCTTAGGAGTTCTTTTTGTTTTAGTTTTTGAGAAACATAAGGACCGCGTGATTGTTGTCTATTTTTCGCTTCTCATTTCTAAAGAAATTTGTCCACAATGAAAAAGAAAGAACAAAAACCAAGAAACCATTCCTTTTTTGTTTACCCTTCCGGAACCGGTACCAACATGGGCGCTTCTTTTACGTTGTTTAGAGATTGGGAGGTTTCGGGAATATCTACACATCGTATATAAATTTACTTAATTCCTTTTATTGCTCTAAGTGAAAGATGTAAGAGAACATGGAACCAAAAATGTTCGATTATGATAAGGTCATTTTGCCGATTCTTTTAAACATCAATACTTTCTTGCAGGCACGACGACATGTTTCTGAAGAGGTTCTGCAGCAGATTAGAACACTCAATTACCTGGATTTGGAACTTTTTAAGCATGCTCAGAAAATCTTTACAACGAGACACCTGCAACTWATGGGAAATCTTGATATGAAAGTAAGCCTTTTCAATTCCTTTCCTTAGCCCTTTAAATTTCTCTTCCAACTTCCTTATCCATTTAAAATCTCTTCCAATTTGAAATGCTTTCTCACCTGCAAATACACCATCTGACGAACACTGGCACGTTCATGGACGAACATACGAACACTTACAAACTTTTTACATTCCACAGAACACAAAAGTTCAAAACTCAGCAGACAGATAATAAACCAAGTGCAAGTTATATATTTCTTATACAAATGCAACAAAAATTTTCAGGATGGGTCAGAAAGCAAATTCGACCAACCCCGTGCCATCGAGCTATGGAAAACTCTTTCGTTAGTAATGCTTTGTATCTTACTCCTCGTTCTCTTCCTATTTGCACATGCTCGGAGAAGAGTATCTAAAGTTAAGGTATAATTGTCTATTTAATTTATCTTTGTGGTGGGAAAGCTAGTTTTTTTTTTGCATCTCAGCATCTGTTTGGATTTTGGAAATGAACAATTTTGCCCATCAATCCTGTTTGAGGAATTATTTATCCTTCTGCTTTCTTTCCAGAAGCTCTAATTATKCCCCTCATTTTCATTCATATATGATATAGCTTATRCTTTTCTGCATCATGTGGCCTAAAAGGATTCTTGAGAGGCACAGATTTAAACTGTTTGGGGAAATCACTTGTGTTTAGTGGGATGTAGAATGCCTCTCATAAAAGGAAAATCTCCCTTCATCATGCTTCTATTGCATCAACTTTTAATTTTAACTTCTAGTATTTACTTTATAAAAATGATGACTCCTTTAGAATTTGTCTCCTTACTTGATCCTTGTACTTTTCACTTTTTGGTTCCGCATATTTTGGTTGTTGTATTTTTAAAACATTCATTTTGGTTCATACAGTTTATTGGKTTTTGTACTTTTAATTTTTAATTTTAGTTCTTATACTATCAAAATGTTTATTTTAATCTATATTTGTAAAATTTTGACACAAATTTTGTACCTAGTGAAAAATCATTTAATTCAAATTTTATGGTTGCAATTTAAAAAAATTTAGTTAGTAAAGTGTCGTATTAAAATTATTACCGAAAGAAATTAAATAAAAATGAAAATAGCTGAGTTAAAATGGTTACTTTTTAAAATAAACAAAACTTGAAAGTATATGGATTAGAAGGAATGTTTGAAAGTAAATGGATAGAAGGAATGTTTGGAAAGTTTATATACCAAAGTATTTAAATTTTAAATTAATCCTTTTGTTTTCATCTCTCTTTTGTTATTATAACCATTTTCTTTCAACATTATTGTATGTCTTCACTTGTCCTATCTGAATATTTTTTGAAATTCTCTTTAGTGTATTTTAATGGCACGATTGTAATTGGCCTTATTTCTTGTTTTTTCCCCTCTTTTTTAATAAACCAATAGAATTAGATGATCTCAATATCGTTAACGATAAAATAATATTTTTATCTTTATTTTGGAATAAATTAGAAATGGAAATAAGAAATAAAAATTTATTTGTGTTGTTTCCAAACTTTCTATATAATTTTAAGAATATTTTGAGAAAATAGAGAATATTTTTTAGAAAATAGAAAGAAGCCACATAAATGGTTACTAAATGCTTAAATTTCTTAATAAAAATTTTCAATTCTAAAATCTTCAAGTGCAAGTGTGATATCAAGATTTTTTTTTTTGCTTGCTAAGGGTCTTGATATGTTTGGTGCATTATTGCATAGGTATGCATAATTTTGAGAGATTCATGCAAAATTATCGAGTCGTCATACACATAAATCTAGTATAAGATATGATACTTAAAGACGACGTGATAAATGACGTGACTTAATGTCGAGAATCATTATATTTGTAGGTGAAAGTTGCAAGGTTTAGAGGTTCTACAAACTAATCTATGCGGGTAGATCGTCGTGTTGCTTCTATGGCCACCTTAAATAACATATTGTTGTCACCAAATGTCATCAAATGTAGTTGTATTTTGGTTCTTAATCGAAGTTAGAAATTACAAGGACGAAAATAGTAGTATTTGAAATTTGTACTTTTTAAAGAAACATTAATGTGTTATGTCGATCAAATCAAAGTGAAGGTTGGATTCTTGTTTTAATTTTTCCATAGTAAATGGTCTCCAAGACCTTTTTTTTTTGTTTTTGTTGTTGTTTTGTTTTGTTTTGAGTATAACATGTGGGTGTAAGGGATCGAAGTCACAATCTCTTGGTTGGAGATATTTACCAATTATCGTCGAGTTATACTCGCTTTGGCAGTCTCCCAGACTAATTAATGATGTTAATAGCATTGTTGATGTGAAGCCTAGTAAATAATAGRGCACCTAGCATCACCTTAGGATAATGTCATTATAAACATAGATATGGGTGGATTTTCAAATTTTCATCGAAGTATTTGGAAACTCGTTTTAGTTGACTATATAAACAAGATAAAAAACTACTCAGTGATGATTTAAATAAGTAAAAGCAATGCGTATATGACAAATATATTTTTTTCAACAATCATAAAATAAAATATGAYATTAATAGAGTATTAATACAAGTCCGAACTACAATTAAACATAGACACACCTAGTATAAAAACTAATACAATTTAAATAAGGACAAAACATCATAAAGACAATTTGGAGCTCTCGAGAGTTTTAAATATTTGAAACGATATTTTTGATTAGAGGTATATGTTAATTATCGTTGAACTATGCTCGCTTTGACATTAAAATTCAATCTTGGTTTATAGACGAGATGTGAATACTAATTCAATCTTTGTTTATAGACAAGATGTGAATACTTTTCATGACGCAAAATTTAACCACCCGAACATGATATTATACCATGAAACATTAATATTAATTAAACTAACATCTAGGTCCAATTAGTATATTCCACCAATTTGGGATCTTTAGCTGGAATACGAACAACATTCGCAGTTCCCAAATTACAGAAGTTTCGGTCCAAAGCTTTGCGGGATTCGAGTTTCCTTTCTCGTTGACACTCATTTTGTGGCACTCTCTAAAGCCGAAAACAGAGAGAGCGAGAGTGAGAAAGCAGAGCGAGATTAGGATGACCATGTGTTTCTAAATCTCTCTTTTTTATTCTATCAGTCTTTCTTCTCAAATATTTCCTTAAAATTCTTTTTTATATGAGTTTTCACTATGATTTATATTTTAAAAAATCTACAACAAAGTATATGACTGCACTAAATTTGTATTTAAAATATAAGATTTATTTATTATTATTTTTTTTAAGATGGAGTTAGATAATCTTGTAGTTTTTTTTTTAATATTTCTATTAAAATTACATTATTTTAAAAAAATTCTAGATTTGAATGAGATGAGATAAAAACGTAACTAGATGATGATGATGATGATAATAATAATAATATTTTAATAAAAAAAATCTAGTTCTGCTCACGCTCTCCATCAATCTCGGTTTACGCTCTCTCTGTTTCCGTCATGATCTATTTTCGAAAAGCTGAGATCGAGAAGAGGAAGTGGACTCTCGCCTTGAAAAAGCTCTTCGAAGTTGTCTCATGATCCATAAAATCTTCAGCCGAGGGAAATTGTCAGCCTACAAAATCGAAAGTAATGTTAATGGAGAAGATGACGATTGTTTTGAGCGAATCGAAGGTAGGAGTTCTCGATGGCAAAACTCTAATCTGAGTCTTGGACTTGGTCGCAGCCAATTGAGGCTTCTTGAAGAATTTCAAGGCATCCTCCTCCTCTCGAAGCTTGGGAATCCGTRTCGCGTACATGGAAAAGTCAGATTGAGAAAAAGAGGGTACTACAAAAGATYAGAAGTAGCAACGAGTTAATCAAAAGGACCAAGTTTGTTATGCATGCTTAAGCTTTCGTAAATGGAACTCATGGCTTTCGAAGTACAAATCACCCTTAAAGTATACTCACATTCTTGTGCCTCTTTAAAAGTCTCTTGTAGTCGAATTTTTTCTTATCTTAAAGTGATCCTATTTACCCTCTTATGAACCTATGGGAGAAGACAGGGTAAAAGAAACTATTTTTACCTAATATTTTAAGTCATTCCGTCCAAAAACGCCCAACATTATCGTAATAGTTGTGAGATCTCTAAAATAAATAAATATATATACGACCTTAGTTTCTCAATATCATGCAAGATAACAAGTCTGTACTTTTATGCTTTATTATATTAATCTACAATGGAAATAAAATAGTAATATGGTAATTCAAGTAAAAACAGGGTTTTAAATATCAAAATCTCACATTTTATAAATATCCATGCAAAACAAACATCGATATTTGTCTGTATTAGTGATATTATGTTGATATTTTTATATTCGTATACATTTTTTATTTTTACAATACTATAGAAATATCAATTCAGTCTAACCCAGAATATATACAAATGTCGAATGCTCCGAGTAAGAAAGATTTAAATACAAGTTAAAAATTAATAAATCTCAATCTTAAAGCTTTGGCTTATATCGTGTACACCAAGACAAAACAAATATATAACCATTCCAACTGCAACTTACAAAATTATGGGGACAATTGGAAGGTGGAAAAAAAAATCAAGGGCTCACTAATCACTGATGATATGGTAATGAAACAGTCCTAAATCCTAATAGGATATATGTGAACACTGCCTCAGCTTCGTAGCTCGGCCACGATCATGACGATGATATCCTACAAAAAGGAAAAGAAAAAAAAGCAGCCACACAGTACCTCCRRMAAAAACACTAGATAGTCCCAAATGGCCAAACATAAAAAAGAACAATTATATATAAAGGTTGGAGTCCAGTTTCATGAAGGATATCAATTTGATTAGAAAAAAATGATGGAACATCAACCCTTTCTCAAAAAATAAGCTCAAGCTTAAGAATTGGATGAGCAGTTTTTACACGAATTTCGAGACTTCACTTGTTCTTAAAAGAGATGCAGCTAAACAAAGGACTAAAGAAAAACAACAATAAACGAAACTCATAGTTAAAAGAATGAAATACTCGAGGTTCTAGTAAAATATTTCTCAAGATATTAATTTGGCTCAACTACACTGTGGAGTGTGTGGGTCCTTTTGACTAAATTTGTAAGTTTCTTTTGATTTCTAATTTTAATAATTAAATTTGTTGGGGGAATGAACCCTGAAGTTATAAGAAAATGGATCAAATAATTCAATGATTTTCATTTTTTTCTTTAAAGACTAAACTTATTTTTTAAAAAGAAAAAAAAGGCCTATATATTCCTTTAGAAAAGAGGTCRAAGTCATAATGTAAGTTTGTGAAATATATTTGATTTGTTGGTTGACTATCTTTAAGTTACCTACGTACCCTTTAAGAAAAGATATCAAGTCATARCATAGTTCTATAATTTTAGTTTTATTTTGTTCATATAATTTAAAATCTTACAATAAAGAGAATTTACATTAAAAGCATTTTGTCACTCATCCAACACACTTCATTTGCATCTTTGTTATCTAACACACTTCATTTGAATAAGTTTGTTGAGTTCATCATGATAGTTCTCCAGACTGCAAATACGAGATCATCAACTTGGAATGACTGTCTACATTC